GGACTCTAGGATGGCCATATCCTGAATTTCAACTATGAGCCACAGTGGTGCAGGGATTAGAGTGCAATACTGCAGGCTACTTCTGCTAATCACCGGCTGCCAGCAGTTTGGCAGATCGAATCTCACCAGGCTCAAGGTTGACTCAGCCTTCCATCCTTCTGATATTGGTAAAAATGAGGACCCAGATTGTTGTGGGCAATAGGTTGATGCTGTAAAACCGCTTAGAGATGGCTGTAAAGCACTATGAAGCAGTATATAAGTCTAAGTGCTATTGCGATTGCTATTTGGGGATTCAGCAGAAAACCTGCAATTCTTTAGTAGGAAGTAAGAAGTTTGGTGTACTAACTCTGCCCTCTGGAAGTTCTCATCCTCTCATTATAAATACCATTTGGGATGGACATGTGCAGCACTCCCAAACGGGAATGAGAACGACAGAAGTTAAAAACAACGTATGCAAGATCTTAGCATAAATTGATGAAAAATTAGGCTAAAAATCAGCAAATGTCTCTCCAACTTGCATGAACAAAGGTGCTACAAGCTGCTCTCTCAATCCATCCAACTGGGATTAATTCCAAATGGAATTAATTGTACCAACAAAAAATGGGCATGTGGAGCATTCTGATTGTCTACAGCGTAACACAAAATCTCAAAAATGTTACTATACAGCCACATTTATGAACAAATATCTATATTTTTGGTTAGGTGGACTGCAATATTTATCCAGTTCCAGTGCTATGGATATTTATCAGCCTCGCCAAAATAATATTTGTTTCCTTACTCTTTTTCCTTAGGAAAGAATGTTTAATTAAATATCAATTAAGTAACCTACATTAATTAAGCTCCACTGGTTAAAGATCATGCAATGTGTACTGGCCTTTTCTGCGAAGCAGTTATCCCAGTTTGTTATCTAGGCTACTGTCATTGCAGGTGCATTTCCAATATAACAATACATACCATTCACTTTTAGCCCCTTCGGTGTCTTTTTTTTGGAAACAATGTAAATGTGTGATGTCAAAAAACATACTATCATCTCACTTATCAGGAGCACTCTTAAAATAGTCATATGCCTTGTCTAAGAGTACCTACATTCAAATCACCCCTTCCCATCCTTGACTAAAACTCATCACATCAGTGAATATAGTTGGGCAATTGGCATTTACATGCCAAGACATATGCTAGAGAAAAATGATCGGTAAGTGAAAAGAGGTAAGTGAAAAGGAGGATTAAATCAGAGAGGTAGAAAAGGTTGCTTTAGACATATGGAGAGAAATGTCATGAAGCTAAAGTCAAGCTATTGTTCAAAGCACCTGAAGGAAGGACAAGAAACAATGGGTGGAAACTAATCAAGGAGAGAAGCCACTTAGAAGTAAACAGAAATTTCCTGACAGTTAGAACATTTAATCAGTGGAACAACTTGCCTCCAGAGGTTGTGAGTGCTCCGACACTGTAAGTTTTTAAGAAGATGTTGGATAACCATTTGTCTGAAGTGGTGTAGGGTTTCCTGCCTAAGCAGGGGGTGGGACTAGAAGACCTCTAAGGTCCCTTCCAACTTTGTTATTCTATTCTATTCTAAACTCAATCAAATACGTTCATATTTAGGTTTACTTAAGTTTCTCCTTAGGCATTCACCCTCTGTCTATATTAGAAATGCTACTGACATTTCTACATTTCCAGTCCCTAGAAAGGACTACGGAGGAACTTACTTCTAAATAAATGTACAATTATTCGAAAGAAGGCTACTTATTTCGGATGATGATGATGATGATTTGGTATTATGCCTGTAAACTTATATATAAAGGAGAGATGGGGAGAAAGAGAGGATTGCAGAGCAATTATTCTCCCCACTTTTTATTTCCCCATATTTTCAAACCCTTCCACTCCAAATTCCGAGAGGCTTTTGAGCTCTCCTTCCCAAGCACTGAGCTCTTCTTCCAGGTTATCCTTGTTGAATCCCCCCACTCAGCCAGCCCCCCCCAAATCGCACCTCCAGCTCCTTGCGCGGGGCATGTCTTCTCCTCCCCGTCCCCGATCCATTCCTCCTGGGCGTGATGTTGCTTCCCTCCTTTAGGCATGGCTCAGCCCTCCGGTTTTCTCCCACCGCCACCGCTTAGCTCCTGCTCCTCCGACGCCCGGAAAAAGAGGCTTCCCACATGCACGCCTCCTTTCTATTGCGCCTGCGCAAGAGCGACCACGCTAAGGAGGAGCGAATAGTATTCGCCCTATAGAAGTGCCGAACGGGTTGTACGATAGAGATCGGGTCACTTCCTAGAAAGGCCCGCTATCATAGAGAGCGAACAAGTCGTTTTAGAGACAGTCGAAGGGCAGTAAATAAAGACTTCTGTTAAACCAACGTAGGTTGTCTTTGGACTTCAGGATGGGAGACTTCTTACACGCCAATAAATTAACGCCATTTCTTCAACGGTGTACTGTAGTCTCTTACTGAGCACTTAATTATAGTTCTTGTCTTTTTATTGCATATAAAGGCAAGAACTATATTACATGTAGTATAGTCTTCATGACTACGTCGGAGTGACTTTGGACCAATCATCATGCAGTTTTTGTTGTTGTTATAGCAGTAGCATTTAGACTTATATACCACTTCATAGTGCTTTTACAGCCCTCTCTAAGCGGTTTACAGAGTCAGCCTATGACCCCCAACAATCTGGGTCCTCATAAATAAACTGTACTCTAGCAACCGTTTGTACTAAAGAAAATTGCAAATGCAAATTTTCTTTGAAGACCAAAATATAGTTAATATGGCTTTGGATGAACTATTGTGTCTTAAAAGATGTAGATAAATGTTCTTGGCTGGCATTTGGAATCAATCGATCAAGACATTTATAAACTTTTCTGATCCTGACTTAAAAATTACTATTTAATACAGCAAAGAAAAATGTGTATATGAATTACAGTAGTTGTAGGCCAGTAGTGGATTATTCATATGGTTTGTGGGTCATTATTGATTTCCCCCTTTTAAAGGAGCATGGAGATTTTTTAAGCAGTATGTTAAAATCTTTTAGAGTTCTCTTTATAATTTTATGATAATCTGATATACTGTATGTACAGTGTTGAATGCAGGTATAATTTTCACATCATATTTTTAAAATATATGCTTTTAAAATTATTAATAATTAAGTTCCATCAAACAATTAAAGGTCTTTGATCTTTGGCATCAGGATGAATTAATCCTGAGTCCATTCCTATATTGTAGTAACATCATTTGGAGGTTCTCAGCCAGAAAAAGCAAATGAGATTCAGAATTGTTTTTAGGAGTAGGTCAACATTTTTCGATTTTTCAATCTAATTTGGGAAATTCTGGGGGTTGAAGTCCAAACTTCTTTAATTTTTCATAACCACCAGCTGGTAAAAATGTAGGTATTCCCAAGGAAAAGTGAGCTTTTTTCCTTTTATAGCTTGGCTTGTAGAAATGGATATATCAAAGCTAGATGAATGTGCAATAAAGATGGAGAGTTTATTCTTTTATTTCCTATTGATAAAAGGGGACACTATTCTGCCTGATAAGCATTTCTGAAAAAGCCAGAATTTTGCATAATTTTTCCAAATTTTCTTCAACCTTATTAAAAAAAGGGGGGGGAGTATTGTCAGCTAAATCTCCCCCTCCTGCCCTTTTCAGGCATTAACGTGTCTGTAATAACATTTTATGTCTTTCTACGTCATGACAGAAGGTACTCCCAGCCCTCCAACAACCCACGAAACTGAACGGTTCAATTTGGTTTAGCCCTTCCCCCCACTGGGATGGTACATTCCGGGGGGGGGTACGAGGAATGATGAACTCCAGGCTTTTCTGCCTTCGATGGTACAATCCATAATCGTTGCTGTAATTTCTTTTCAAGCACGTCACATTCCAATCTCTTCCCCCCTACTCGCCTGCCCTTAATGGTTCGCCCCAATCACCCCCTGTCCTCCAGCTAGCTGTTTTCCTCCTTTCGCGTCACGATCTCTCATTCTTTAGTTCGAGCAGGATCCGCCCCCTTCCACTGTGCTTCCACTCCCTTCCTCCGAGCTTATTGGTTCCTTTTCTCCCCGCCGAAGGAGTAATTTTCTTGTAGCTCCTCCCCTCTCCCCCCACTCCGGGACTGCGAGTTCGGTGCTGTTGGAGGAGCGGGAAGAGGAGGGGACGGCAGCCGGGACAGGACATGCCCCGCAAGAGGCCGTTCAGCGCTAAGCAGAAGAAGAAGCAGCTGCAGGATAAACGCGAGCGAAAGCGGCAGGGTGAGAGAGGAGTGGGGAGGGGGGGGGGAGAATCGGGGCGGGGGGGCGGGGCGCCTTCCAAGAAACATCTGGATCATCTTCCTATCTCCCCTTCCTCCTTAAGGGAATGTGTAGGAGCAGGACTGTCCTTAGCACCTGGATTATCCCCATCCCTTCCTCTCCCTCGGATATCCCATAGCGTTTTGGAGGGGAAGGGAGTTGCCCCTTATCTCATGATCACCCATAGGCGCCCATGGGCAGCTCTTCTTCTTAAAGCAGCGTTGGTTCATTTGGGGCGGGGGGGGGCGGGGAGAGAAGTGTGACCTTTCCATTCCCTCCTTTTTGGGGTTATATGGAGAGAAATGAATTGGAGACAACAAAAGCCTTCCGCAAAAAAATATTTAGAAAGCACTTGACATCTTCCTTTTGTCTACTGGAAAAACTGAAGCACATTTCCCCCCCCCCCCCAAAAAAAAAGAATGCTGGCCCAAATTTAACTAAGACAACTGCTAGGGAAGCGGCAGTGTGTCCACAGTGCAATTGCACATAAATGTCAACTTTTTCTTGAAGCTTAATGACAGAATGAAGAGCATCTACCTCTTGGGCACATGAGAAAAAGCAGCAGTCTCCCGCTTCTACTTTCCTCTACTTTCCTCGCTTTAATCTCGGTCAAAATAAATCCAGGCCATCTTCCTAAATCTTTGCAGAATGACTTTTCCTTTGGCCTCTAAGCTATACTTGGGAGATAACCGTTTCTTTGTAAAGCTGGATTTCTTTGCCCTAATATCTGCAATGCAGTGGGTATTATATCACTCTCTCTTTTTCCCACTTAGTTAGAACTACTACTTATCCCATTCATAGGTACAACCTCTTCCCTGAAACTGAGGGGAAGAAATATATTTCAGACATGGGAAAGAGCACTTACCTCTAGAAATATATATGAGAGACTATAGGCATTCATTATGTTCTACTTTTTTCCTGTTTCATTTAATTTTCTTCCTAGTTATATATATTTTTTATTAAATATCTCCCAACCTTCTTGTAAAAGGCTTTAGTTTTGAAGACAGGAGAATTAATATTAGAGAAAATGGATATGGTGCAATAATTAAAATGTACTACATTGTGTTCAAATGTAAGTAACCTTGGGCCAAAGATTTGAAGTAGACCTACTTCATAGAGTTTTTGTGTGTCTGACAGGATAGGAGATGAGGGAAACTATTCAAAGTACCTTGAAAATGGGGTGGGACAGAAATGTAATGAACAACATAGCAATGCTAAGAATGTCATGTGTACTGGATGGGTTGTCACAAATCCAAGATTTTTATGGGGGCAGCAATCCTGAGTCCTCCTGCACAATGTGTCTGTTGCATGGAATTTTGTTTAGGATTGCAGTTTCTAGATTTCATGTGATGCCTGTGTATGTTGCAACTCCCTGCCAAGCTAAGTGGGATCTATCTCTTAAGGGGCTGGAAGGAAAGCAGATGGGGTTGCAGAACCAAGAGGTGTGTTGAGCCGTTCATGGCCTGTCGTGCATGACGAATGTTCAGTGTTTAGGGTGGTGGGTTGCCAATTGCACAGACGTGTTCCATATTCTTCCTCATAATGATTGACGGTGATGCATATGTCAGCCCAAGCTTTCATTCCAGAGTCAGGTCTTGCAGTAATATTTCTCTACAGAAATGTGGCGCTTTCTGCTAACAGACAGACATGTGTGGGCATCAATAAAAAAAGTCACTTAAGAATGAATTTGCATGAGCGACTTTGTCACTAGGTAGTATAACTGAGTAATCGTCAGCCATTCAAAACCAAATAATGCAATAATTTCTGGTGTGGGTATATTTAAAAATAGGAGTGGTCCAGGCTGCTCGAGAGATTTTGTTGACTTTAAGCATCTTCGGAAGAAGGAGCAAAAGGGAAGCATTGGAGCCTCTTGATGTAGTTGGGTAAAGTAACCAAGGACATTTTGCGAAGGAGAGCAATGCTTTTATAATTAGGAGAGAGAGAAGTGGGGGAATGTAAATGGTTACTGTGCACAACACTTTGGAAAAAGCTAAGCCTTCACCACTGGGGAGTAGGATGACAAAAGCTTTTGGAGGGTTATGAATTGTGTGGTAATAGTACTGAAATAACACTGCAGGGAATTAAATGGGCAGCTGGCTGGGAGCAAAACTTTTGTCTGGCAGCATTCAAACACATAACAGAAAGAGGGAAAGTAGGCGTGTGTCCTTTAACTGATGATCATAATAATCTCTTTTCTGTAGTACACTAGAGTCTAGCAACTGCATCACATTCAATTCAAACAGTGCCAAGAACATATTTTTGGGCAGCTTTTCACAGCAGTGTCCTTCCAGGGCAATTCAAAATAGATAAAATGGTAAGGTGTCAGTTCTGGTAATATAAAACCACAAACAACATTTTTCAAAAGAAAAAACAGTCTAAGCAATATTTGCTTAGTTTCCAGCAAGGTTCATGTTAAGGCTAGACAGTAATTGCCAAAATAACAGAGTATCTTGGCAAAAAGGCATTTGAATACACATAGATCTTCAGCCCTTTGAGAGAACTGGAAATGTAGGTTGCTTGCAATTCATCCTAGTTTGAGAACCACCCAGCAAAGGCAACATCTCCATTGCCTAACTTTTTAAAAAGTTTAAGCTTTTTAGGTCTGAGTAGCTAGCAACCCGCATTGCTGCCAATGTGAGGAATTTGGAAAGGGTGTAAAGATGCAGAGATATTTCCACAATTCAGAGCCACAACTGGTTAATAGACATATTTAGAAGGATTCAGAAGGACACATTGCTCAGTGTGGCTTTATATAATGTCATCATGATTAGGAGCTTTGATAGCTCCTGTATTACAGGGAATAGAGCCAGACTAGCTTTAGCCAAGCCCACAAAGTTAAGCAAGGTCAGACGCAGTTTGTATGAGGAGGGGAGGCCACTGGGAAATCTCATAACTGAAAACTAGATTGGGAAGTCACAAAAAAGATGACAATTTCTGTATTATTTACCCCTCCCCACAAAAATGATGGGTTAGTCCATGAAATGTCTAAGATGAGCATTTTCAAAAATGTTCAGGGTGCAGAACCCGTTAGTTTACAAAAAAAGAAAAAAAGGAGGCAAAAACTCTAATGATGGACTTTTTTTAAGTCTCTCATGGCAACCATCAACCTTGGCAGATACGGGTTTAAAACACCCTGTTCTAGGAGTTGAGCGGAACTTGTAGGAGGCTTTATTATCACATCTTCGTCATATGAAATATCCCTGTCATACACTTGAATTTATTTTTTTTACATGTCTTAGCTGAAAAAGAGTTTACATTTCTTTGATGAGTCGGTCTGCATAACTCAAGATTGTCAAGAGTTTGCTTGATTTCTCAAAATGGGCATTCTGATTAAAGGAAAAAGGAATAACATGGCAGTGTTTGAATTAAAAAGAAAACGGTGATCTGAAGGAGCTGTTCTTGAGAAGCAATCTTGGCTGTCTACTTTCTCTATAATTGTAGTTCCTGCAGCCAAGTTTTGCATTTGCAATCTAGATGTTGAGAGTATTTCCATTCTCTTTTAGTTTACTTCATTTTCATGGTATCATAACTTACTTGCTCATCTGTACAAACATTTATTACCGTAAAAGACATATGCTTTCACCAACTGCAACTTATCATCAGATGCATCTGTCCATGTAATAAAGAGAGTTCCATCTCATAAAAGCTTATGGCTTTTAATAAAAAGTATGTTGGTTGGAAAAGGTGCTACTAGCTCCTGCTGATCCCCCCCTCCTCAAAAACAGGGTTCCCCTCCTATTTTGCCCATTTATTATACAGAAATTATCAGGTCAGTGCTGTAATATTCCGGAAGATCCCTAGATGGCAGCAAAGAGGCAGAAAAATGTCAGCTCTTTGTTGCCATGCATGGCTATATGAAATTTTTGCAAGCCAGATACTGTTGTCCTGATCCACATGGAGTCTCTTGCCATCTATAGCTAACCAATTAATGCTTGAAGGCTCCTTTAATTAAACTACTACCATCCTTTCGTTGTTATTGTTGGTGCCTTCAAATTAGACGAAGCAACAGCCTGGTCTAGTCCCTGTAATTTTCTTGGTGAGATTTTGGAAGTCATTTACCCTTGTATCCTTTCTAGGTCTAAGACAGAGTGACCAGCCTAAGATCACCCACCTGGTTTCGTGCCTAGGGTGGGACTAGAACTCACAATCTCCCAGTTGAAGCCTATACAACTGAAAGCTGCCAAAGTTGAGAAACACTGGTCTAGATATATGGAGGGGTGGGAGTAGCTGAGACCAAGAATGCTCACCCCTCCTTCTTTGCTGTGTCCCATCTCTCTGTCTACTGAGTGGAAAAATCATAATATCTAGGAAACCTGTTACGCAATCTTTCTGACAATGATTCTTTGTGCTTCTCCCGTCAAGGTCGAAGTATTGAGCTCATCCAGAATCTTACAATGCAAATCCAAACAATCTGCCAATGATTGTCTCATCCCTCTCCCTTCTTCGCTAGCTTTCCTTGTATTTGTTGGAAGTAGATTTCTCTCTCTCTCTCTCTCTAATAGTCTCCTTTCCCCTACCACAAATAGCTTCTTTTATTCTAGTTATGTTTCCTTGCTTTCAATATCACCTTGCAATCCCAGAAAATATGGGTAGAATCTCCGGCAGTCTGGATTCCAATTTTTTTCTATTGTCTGTATCTAGGTTCCCATTTCCCTCCTCCTGCTTCAAATCCCTGATTCTTGAAGTTTGAACTAGAATCTAGACGTCCTGAATGTTAAGGCTGTTTCCCCCGGCAATGCAGGGGTGGGGGGCTGCTACGGGTTTGCCCGGGATCGGGAGAATCCATAGCTAACGTTATGGCCGGTTTGGAGAACCTTCAAATCCCACCGCTGGCTGGCCCCACCCACATGCTCCCCGGCATGCATGTGACCCCACACCGTGTTTTGGGCCTAGCAGGCCTCCCTGAACCCTTCTGCGACCAAAAACAGGCTGTGGGGGCAGCACACACACCTCCGCGCTACTTCCTGCACATGTGCACATGTCTCCCACATGCATGGCAGAGACCCAAAAATCAGCTGCCTGGCAGAAGGCACATGCACATGCATGGTGGAGCTGAGCTGGGCGACAGCTTGCATGCCCGCAGAGAGGGCTCCGTATGCCACCTGTGGTATGCATGCCCTAGATTTGCCATCATGGGACTAGGCCGTGCAGCTTGCACACAAAACCAAAGCTGGCTAAGACTGATTGGAGTCTGACTTTGAAAATCTGAAGAGAATTAAATAGCCTGCATCTGTCCTGTAATTTACCGTAATGTCGAATGCAATCGTTCTTGAACAAAACTACTGTGACCGCCATGTAAGATAGGCTAACTTTCTTTCTTGGGTTTTCCCTCTGTTGTCTTTCCAGGCTTTCAAGATGGCGTGAGGTCAAGTTCAAACAGCCGGAGCGGCAGTCATGATCGACACGAGGAGCACACGGACACGTCGGATAGCGAGTCTTTCTCTCTGCAGGTTCGCAAGCTCAACCAGCAGCCTCAGATCCGCAAGCCGGGTGAACGAGGCTATGATCCCAACAGGTAATAACCCAGGATTTCTGAGTGAACAAGCATTTAAGGTCACCTTCCCCCAAGGCTGCCATTCTCCATTATGAGGGTTAGTTGTAAGGCAGGGGTGTCAAACTGGCGGCCCAGGGGCCAGATGCGTCACACACAGGGCCATGCCCACCCCAGCTCTGCAGAGGGTGGGGAAAACATCGCGATATGTCACGTGATGGCAACGTGACACCGCGAGTTTGACACCCATACTATAAGGCAATTGGAGAGAAGCAGAACATGCCCAAGTCATCTGAAGTTCTCTGTTGAGGACTACCTCACTTGTGCTTGTAGATCTTCGCAGGCTTCATTCTGCTGGTTGGAATTCCTGGAGTCATCATTACAACATATACAGAGGACACCTAGTTACGGAAAGATGAAACTCTTGGGGCTTGTTTGCTTGATTTCTGGTCTGGCATCCATTGTTCAGTGTCAGAAAAGATCAGTTTGATCTCTTCTAAATATTGGTTGAGATTTATCTCTGAAGTGACTATCAGACTTCATGACGTTGTTAGATTTTTATTAAATGCTGATATCCTGGCATTGCCTGGGTATTTATTTATAGGGGGAAAATGTCCGGACCAAATGTAATTTTCTAATGTTGGATTTTCCCCCTTACCAGAGGGAGCCTCCTTACGGAGTACTGTGAAGCTGTT